TTATATGTGTATTTTGTAATGAGGTTGTCATGTCCCATTTGCTTTCATTTATTTGAGTGCAGCAGGCTTTCCTTGCCTATTACAATCGCGCACTCAGAAAATTTCTCTGAAATGCGCCATGCGTTGGACTTCAATCTGAAGTCGCTGTAGCACTGGAATGCATCTTTGGTTCTAGCATTAAGCCCAGCTTTTTCTCTGACCTGCCACTGTACGATCCAGGAGTTTAATCCGTTTCAAACAAATTTGGACAATGATTGAGAGAGAGGGATATCGTTCCAAATGTTGTCTGAAAAGCAAGATTAGCTGAATCTTATACGACAAACAATTGACGATTTGAGTTTATGACTTGCACATGACACTGGTAAGCGTTGACGTAGTCTGTTTTTCGACCAGTAGGTGATTAGTTGCGGCAAGAAGGCTTAAGCCAATAAAAAATTGCTCGAGATGTCGTTTTCAGATGACCGTCGTTTGCTTCCTGATCTAGTGCGGCTCGGAGGTGGTGAGATTGCAGTGTCTGAGCCACAGTATAAATCCAGCATGCTGCCACCTTTCCATGCACCTCAGCTCTCGTCACCTAATTTTTATTGTCTATGACGTAACACATACGAGTAATGTAAGCTTCTGAAAAACACTACAAATGTAGGTGGATGGTTTTGAAAGTAATGGCGTGTTTTTAGATCCCGAGTAAATTCCATCGGTGCCCGAAAGAATACAACATGGTGTCGGCGCAGTGGGTCATTGAATGTGTGATGGAATACGCGATCAAGTCAGTCGGTTAGAAATGGTTCGAAGTCATTGTGTTGATACTTTTCTATATTTTTCTGTCAACATTTTTTTTTGATCTCATTTATTATTGTTCTCTCATTTTCTTGTCGTTTTGGACTATTTTCGATTTTCTCATTAATGTGTTAATATCTTGACTGGAAAGCTCGGTGGGTGAAATATTGCCAGGATTATCTCTTTTTCTGAATATTTCAACTATATTCCACTCGTTATGATAACCTATAGACTTTTGCTATCGATTTTCGGTTCATGTTCCTCTCATGATAAAGGTGTTGATAGAGGGTGAAAAGATGAAGTCACTGTCCATTCTCTGAAGTGTAGTGTGTTATTGAAAACCTAGCCTATTGTTTGGATTAATAAAAATTTAGCAATCATACGTTCACTAGGATAGAATTGTGAAGGAATCTTGTGAGGGAATCCTGCAAGCCGAGTTACACCTTTGAACAGCCTAACCTTAAGTTGTTCACACATGTAACCAAATTTTGATGTTTTTGAAGATATTATTATTTATCAAAGTATTGTACTCGTAGTTTGACATGCTGCTATTCTATTATAAACATGCTACCTCACACTGATGACATAGTGAGGTAGCATGTTTATAATAGAATGAAATGATTTTACATAACACAAGTATATATGGGGTGGGGGCTATGGGGGTTGGGTCGAAAGGAAGAGGAAGGGCAGTGCCCCGGCCAAACACTGCAAGCCGCGGGGAGGGATCGCGACTCCGGAAGTCCAGCTTACCAGCTTTCCGGCATGTTTCGAAGAGATGTGTACTATACAGAGTCGTGCTCAGTGTTTTTTTTTTGTTGAATTTGAAGGTGCGATGGGGTAGAGATGATGGTATCAAAGATTGCTCACTACTGTTGACTGGTTCGAACAAGATATGTTTGTGAATTCATTCTTTTACGGCCACAGTGCGGTAAACTGATGCACACCGCGAGGTTCTGTTACCCGTTCTGTTTTTATTTTAGTCTACCCCTTCTGTGCTCAAGGAGCTGCTCCTTTTTGCGCTGTCGTTCTATGATTCTGTCCATATCCACGTTACTTATACAGCAGCTTCCTTGCCCTTTTATTACTCCTTTCACCCTTTTTTCATTCCCAGTTTTCAGAATTGGAGGTCAGTCATCCCTTCGTTTTCGGATGCTCTCTGGCCGTTGCCCTTTAGTTGCTATGTCTTCCGAAGGAACCTGTTATTGAGAGGCATTCATTGACACTCTACTGACATCACCTCATTTGTTATTCACGTAGGAAAGTAATGCTTTCCAAGGAACTTGGCTGATTGAGTCAAGGTGCCCTCAATATTAGATAGTAATCGTAAGATATCACAGAGATGCTGAATAATGGGAAATACTTTGCTCCATTCGGGAATCAAACATCTCGCTGTCGCTCCTCGGACAATTGTACTACCAGTTTTACAAACCAGAGGAAGTTTCTTTTGTTTTCTTTTCTTTCTGTTTCATCATCAAATCTAAAAGGTAATAGTAACTCGTCCTTACCCAGGCAAGCTTTTTTGCCGGTTCCAGTAACAGTACATTTGCATTTTCCTTCGAAAAGTAACTGTACCAAAGCCTCTACAAACGGCTGCGTTCTCTAAAGACCCAACTTTCACAGAGTACCCAAGAAAGTACCCA